CCTTCAATGAGATGGATTGACACAGTGGCTGCAATGGTGAGCTCTGGTGTAGCAAGTATTGTGAGGTTGGCACAAGACCAGGCAGTGTTTTGTTCTGCTGTGCATAGGGTTGCTATGAGTCGGAGATGACTCGATGGCACCTAACAACAACAACAACAATGGTTTGATAGCTTAAACTGGTTAACCTTTATTGCCACAACTTTTAAAAATACATATTCAATTATAAGATATAGGGTTGCATAGAAAAAAGCAGCCTGAAAACTAAGTTAAAAAAGGATTTAGAAAAATGTTTTTTACCTTTATAAAACACCAAATTCTACTATTTATAAAATTTTAATAAAACTGCTAGAACATGAAAATGTGTAAAATTAAAATGGATAACATGAGAACCAAATAGATAAATATTATAATCACATTTCATTTATGGAGCTGTCATGAATTTCAAAAATTATAAAAAGTAAAATTTTGCTGCTGTGAAAATGACAAAAATTAAAAATCGCTATAATGTCCAATGCTGTGCATATCTTATGTAATTTTGTATTCCAGGCAACTAGTGTGATTTCAATCTCCTAATAGGTACTGTATAAATATTTCTTCCATAAATTAATAAAACCATATGAGATATGTAAGAGAACTGACAAGGTCATAGGCTAATGTCCACATAAAATGGTTTATTATTGTTGGAAAGCAGTATGGCCATATATGTTAAAGAGATTTGAACTTTGTATATGCTTTGATTCATCAACGCTGTTCATTTGAATTATGAAAAGCAAAACTTCCATTTCAGCATTATTGATATGGTTGAAAAATTGGAAATAACCTGTATGTATAAAGTAGGTGAATGGGTAAATATAGAGTAAAACCTATGAGAGCTGGAACTCAATGAAACTGCCTTGTTTTTCTGGATCTTTCAAGTTTTCTGCCCTTGGCAGGGGACAATCTTATCACTTTTCTATTGCTCCTTTTTAGTGAAAAATACTAAGTGTTCCTTCTCTAACATATTTTTGCCTTACATAGTTTTCAGCTTTTGTAGGTTTTATTGTATTATGATATGGATTTCATTGAATGCAGTGCAGCCATAAACATTATAAATGTAATGCTATATAGTTGTACATTGTTGTTCAGTGTAGTTGAGTCAATTCTCAACTTATAAAGACATGACCTGACAGACTAAGACTGGGAAGAAGGATGGGACTATCCACTTCTGAAAAAAATGGACCACTATGAATAGCAGTGAAACACTGTCTGATATATTACTGGAAAACTTTATGAATAGCCATGAAATGTTGTCTATTACAGTGTCAGAAGATGAGCCTGTCAGATTGGAAGGCACTCCAAGTTTGGCTGGGGAAGAGCTGCCTCCTCAAAGTACAGTTGACCTTAATGACATGGATAAAGTAAAGCTTTCCAGAATTTCATTTGCTGATGGGGCATGACTCAAAATGGGAAGAAACAACTGCAAAACATCCATTAGTAATCAGAACATGGAATGCACTAAGTATAAATCTGGGAAAATTAGAGGTTGTCAGCAATGAAATGGAATGTTTAAAGATCAATATCCTAGCCATTAATGACATGCAATGAACAGGTATTGGCCATTTTGAAATAGGCAATCATATGGTCTATTATTCTGTGAATGACAAATTGAAGAGGAATAACATTGCATTCATTGTCACAAAGAACAATTCAAAATCTATCCTGAAGTACAATGCTGGCAGGGGTAGGATAATATCCAGATGTCTACAAGGAAGACTAGTTAATACTATTAATATTCAAATTTATGCACTAACCGCTAGAGCCCAAGATGAAAAAACTGAAGATTTTTACTAACTTACACAATCTGAAATTGACTAAACGTGCAATCAGGATGTATTGATTATTACTGGTGACTGGACTGCAAAAGGAAGAATCATTGGTAGCTTGGAAATATGGCATGGCCTTGGGATAAAAATGATGTGGGAGATCGTATGATAGAATCTTGCAAGAGCAACAACTTATTTATTGCAAATATCTCTTTTACAACAACATAAATGGTGGTTATGTATGTGGATCTTATCAGATAAAATACACAGTAATCAAATCGACTACCTCTGTGGAAAGAGATGATGGAGAAGCTCAATATCATCAGTCAAAGCAAGGTCAGGAGCTGAATGTGGAACAGACCATTCATTGCTCTTATGCAGTACAAGCTGAAGCTGAAGAAAATTAAAACAAGTCCAAAAGAACCAAAATATGACCTTGATTATACACTACCTGAATTTAGAGACCATGTGAGAAATATATTTGAAGCATTGAACACCAATGACCAAAGACCAGGTGAATTGTGGGATGACATCAAGAACATCATACATGAGGAAAGCAAAAGGTCATTAAAAAGACAGGAAAGGAAGAAAAGACCAAAATGAATGTCAAAAAAGACTCTGAAAGTTACTCTTGAACATAGAATAGCTAAAACAAATTAAGAATGATGAAGTAAAGTATTATGATGAAATGTTCAAAGACCTGAATTTAGAAAACCATAAGGGAAGAACATTCTTGGCATTTCTCAAGCTTAAAGAACTGAAGAAAAAAAAAAATTCATGCCTCAAGTTGCAATATTGAAGGATTTTGTGGGCAAAATACTGAAGGATGCAAGAAAAATCAAAAGAAGATGGAGGAATACACAGAGTCACTGTACCAAATAGAATTGGTTGATGTTCAGCCATTTCAGAAAGTAGCAAATGATCAAGAACCAATGGTATTGAAGGAAGAAGTTCAAGGTGCACTGAAGGAATTGGCAAAACACAGGGTTCCAGGAATTGACAAAATAGCCACTGAGATGTGTCAACAAACATTTGCAGCATTGGAGGCACTCACTTGACTACACCAGGAGATTTGTCTAACTGACTGGAAGAAGTTGACATTTTTGCCCATTCCAAAGAAAGGTGATCCAACAGAATGTGGAAATTATTGAAATTATGATATCATTAATATCACAAGCAAGCAAAATTTTCCTAAAGATAATTAAAAAATACTTGCAGCAGTATAGACAGAACTTCCAGAAATTCAAGTTGGATTAGGAAGAGTATGTGGAACAAGTGGTATGATTGCTGATGTCAGATGGATCTTGGCTGAAAACAAAGAATACCAGAAAAATGTTTTATTGACTATGCAAAGGTATCCAACCATGTGGCTCATAACAAATTATGAGTAACATTGAGAAGAATGGGAATTCCAGAATACTTAATTGTGGTCATGAAAAACCTGTACATAGACCAGGAGGCTGTCATCGTTCAAACAGAAGTGAATGATTTAAAATCAGGAAGAGAGTGTGTGAGGATTGTATCCTTTCACCACATCATTCAAAATGTATGCTGAGCAAACTCTCCAAGAAATGGGACTATATGAAGAAGAGTGTGGCATCAGAATTGGAGGAAGACTCATTAACAACCTGTGATATGCAGATGAAACAACTTTGCTTGTTGAAAGTGAGGATGAATTGAAGCACTTATTAAAGAACATTGAAGAGTACAGTCTGCAGTATGGAAGTACACCTCAATATAAAGAAAACAAAAATCCTCACAACTGGACCAATAAGCAACATCACAATAAATGGAGAAAAGACTGACATTGTCAAGGATTTCATTTTACTTGGGTCCACAGTCAACATCCATGGAAGCAGAAGTCCAGATATCAGACATCGATCGTATTGGGAAAATCTGCTGCAAAAGAGCTCTTTAAAGTGTTCATTAAAGATGTCACTCTGAAGACGAAGGTGTGTCTAACCCAAGCCATGGTATTCTCACTCACCTCAGACACTGGTCAACGACTAAGAAAGAATGAAGGAGAATTGATGCCTTTGAATACTGAAAATATCATGGACTAATAGAAGAAGAAATAAATCTGGAAGAAGCACAGCTAGAATACTCCTTATAAGTGAGAATGGGTAGATTTTCTCTCACCTTTTGGCCATGTTGTCTGGAGGGACCATTCCCTGGAGAAGGATATCATGCTTGGTAAAGCAGAGGGTCAGAGAAAAAGGGGAATACCCTCAATGAGATGGATTGTCACAGTGGCTACAATGATGGACTCAAGCTTAGCAAGGATTGCGTGGCTGTACCAGGATTGGGCAATGTTCTGTTGTATATAGAGTAGCATGAGTCAGAACTGACTCTATGGCACCTAACAACAAAAGAAACATGGAACAGAGTAGAACTGCCTAACAGGGTTTTCTAGGCTGGAATTTTTATGGAAGCCGATCATCACATTTTCCCTGAGAACTCCTAGGTATGTTTGAAATGCTAATCTGACGGTTAGTGTCCAAGTTCTCAGCTGTTGCACCCCCAGGGCTATTTTAACATAAGCAAAATTGTTAGGTGTAAAGGCAAGAATTAAATAAATGATGTAAAACTAGTTGATTTGTTTATTAGTAGTACTGTGAGTAAATTACCACTATTTTATCCCATCTTTGTTGTAATATTTCCTATTCAGAGAGAAAGGGAACAGTGTGCTTATAATTATTGATATGTCTGTGTATGTTTGTGTCTGTGTCCATGTGTAATGCAGGGGAAAGAGAGTAGTGGATCTATATTAAAATGCTATAGTTGTTTATTTTCTCTTAACTTGAAAGAAGGAAAAATGGTTTTAATTTCTGAAAAAGGGTAGGAAATACATGAAGTGCTTCCCTAATGACAATGGCAGTATTGCATGATTAATTAATTGTTGTTGTTGTTATGTGCCGTTGAGTTGGACCCGACTCATAGCGACCCCTCCTTGGGTTGCTGAGGCGGTATCACTACGGAAATAGATTGCCCAACTTTCCTTCCGAAGAGTGGTTAGGGGGTTTGAACTGCCAGCCTTCTGGTTAGCAGTCAAGTGCCTTAGGCACTATGCTACCAGAGCTTCCTGATTAATTCATAGGGGAGAAAAATAATAAAAAGTTACTGCTTTCCCTTAACACCACATATGGAAGGAACTCAATATTATTTAACATATTTCTTGTATATAATATCGTCCAGCCATCAATAATAGGATAAAAATGTTTTTTTCTTAGTGAATTCTCCACCCAACAGTAACTTTCTGAAAGCTTCCTTCATGGCCTCATTCCTCAGGCTGTAGATAATGGGGTTGAGTGTTGGAGGCATTACTGTATAAAAGATAGAAATCATGAGGTCAAAAAAAGTTGGAGAATCTGAATTTGGTTTTAGAAATTCAAAGATACCTGTGGAGAAAAAAAATGAGACAACAAAGAGGTGGGGCAGGCAGGTAGAAAAGGCCTTGGATCGGCCTTCAGTAGAAGGTATTCTTAGAACTGTGGAGAAGATGTGGATGTAGGAGAGGACAATGGAGGTGAAGCAGATGAATGCCATCATAGCCATGAAAGTGTCCACTCCAACCACTCCAAGGTAGTCACTGGAGCAGGACAGCTTTCGTAACTGGGGAACGTCACAGAAGAAATGGTGGATTATTTTGGCTCTACAGAATGTGATAGAGAATGTGGCTGCTGTGTGCAAGATCCCAGAAATGCTTCCATTTATCCATACGGCTATCACAGCCCTCTTACATTTACTGGGATCCATGATGACTTCATAGTGTAATGGGAAGCAGATGGCTGCATAGCGGTCATAAGACATCACTGTGAGAATGATCACTTCAGCCCAAGCCAGAGATGTGAAGAAGAAAACCTGGAGTATGCACTGACCATGGGAAATATAGCCATCATCCATCAGAGAGTTGTCAATGGACTGGGGAACTGTAACAGAAATGAAGGAGAAGTCTAGAAGAGAAAGGTGCTTTAAGAAATAATACATTGGGGATTGGAGACGCTGGTCCATTGTGGTGATGGTGATAATGATGATATTACCTGCCAAGGCCAATAGATACATCATCAAGAATAGCAAAGCATGTAAAATCTGTAGCTCACGAGTGTCAGAAAACCCCATGAGGAGAAACCCACTCATTGTGGTTATATTTTCCATAATCATTTTGAAGATACCACTTATGGCTGCAGCTAGAAGAAAATAAGATATGGAAAATGCATTAGAAAAAATATTAAACTAAAATTTCATTCATTTATTCATCATTACCTCTTAAAACAATTATTAAGTGCCTGTTGTCAATCTACTTCTGTAGAGATACGCCTCAGAAACCCAAGGAGGGGTCGCTACGAGTTGAAATCTACTTGACGGCAGTGTGTTTGGTTATTTATTTATTTTATGTCTTATCAGAAGCTGTGTTGGTGCAGTGCTTAAGACATTTGACCACTAACCAGAAGGTTGGCAGTTCAAACCCACCAGCCACTCTGAGGAAGGAAGATGGGGCAATTTACTTCTGTAAAGATTTATTGTCTCAGAAACCCTATGGGGGTCACTATGAGTCGATGGCAATGTGTTTGGTTTGGTTTTGATGTCTTATCAGCTGTGTCCTAGATGTTTGGGACACAAGCATGAAGTTTACAGTAAACCAACAGTGTTCAGTGATAGTTGAGTCAAATATGTTAAAGTCACTGATCCTGTCACACAAAATGTCACATTTATATCACCAAAAAACCCCCATCAACTTCCATTTCCACTAATGAAACTCAGTGGTTTGTTTCAGGTCAACAACAGAAAAGCAGTGATCAGCTACTGATGACAGATTTCTGAAAACTGGATGTGTTGCATTTCTGTATATTGCTCTGCCATTTTTTAGCAGATAGAATGGCCCTTGGAGGAAATACAGTACTGGGAATTGAAAAGTGGATTACAGGTTTGACAGGATAATCTCTAAAAATTCCTTCCTGCCAAAGAATTCTGTCATAGGGAGAGCCCCAGCAATTGTGGAGCCAAGGGCCAAACTGTGTAGTATTATTGCCTTCCCAATGAATGTATTCTATGGAATGATCCAAAGCCTTCTGTCCTATGGGACCCTGGGAGCTGAGGACCAGCACAGGCATCAAAGAAGGGGTTTCCTGTACTCAGCCATCTCCCTGAATATAAGGGAATCTATGAGGTAAGTGCTCTAGGATTTTGAGCCCTGTGTTTTGGTGTAGCTCTCCAAGATCTTTATTAAGTCTTGCTGTGTAAGGTTTTCTTTTTTGTGTGAAAACTCTTAATGCTTTCTTTCTGTTTATTTGCACATGTTTGAAGATTTTGTTTTAGCATCCCTAGAAGGATTTGGTTGTATTAGCAGATTATTAATTTCAAGAGAAATTATACATGCTGACAATACAGAAAATAACAAATGCTGGCGAGGATGTGGAGAGATTGGGACTCTCATACACTGCTAGTGGGACTGTCAAATGATACAACCACTGTGGAAAGCAGTATGAGAATTCCTTAAAAAGTTGAAATTAGAAACACCATTTGACCCAGCCCTTCCATCACTAGGTTTACATCCTAAAGAAGTGAGAGCCAGAACAAGAAAAGATATATGCACACCCATGTTCATCACAACACTATTTACAATGACCCAAAGATGGAAAAAACCTACGTGTCCCTCAACTGAAGGATGGATAACCAAACTATGGTACATACACACAATGGAATACTATACAACCCTAAAGAATAACATAGAATCTAAAACACACCACATAATGTGGATGAATTTGGAGGATATTATGCTGAGTGAAATAAATAAATCATAGAAGAACAAATATCGTATTAGTTCATTATTGAAAAAAGTCAAGGAATCTTTTATCTATGGAAGGAAATTTTCTTTGTTGGTTACCAGGAGTTGGAGGGGAGGGGAGAGAACACCATTAGATAGGTAGAAACAAGTATTGATTTCGGTGAAGAGAAGGGCAATGTACCAAATGTGCATGATCAATATGGTGGCATTGAGGAAGCAGAAGACATAGAGAGGTACATGGGAGGCGCAGACAACAAAGACGAACCCTTTTGCACATACAGTACTGTGTTGTCAGTGAAGGCAAACATGGATATATGTGTGCATAGATGGGTAGACAGCCTGAACTAGTAGGTATGTCTATGCAGGGGGAAATGTGCCCAGACCATGTGTAGGGTTGGCAGACAATGTTTCTACAAGTGTATTGGTGTGTTCTGTAAGCATTCCCAGGTATATGGTAGAGCTGACAAAGGGCAAGGTTGTAGTCACTTCCTGGCCACAGCCAGCTACCGAGAGGGAGTGAGTAGTTGGACCTGTGGTCTCAGTTGCAGAGGACATCAAGCTCAATGAGCATAACATACTACCCAAAACATTGTTCCACCTCCTACTTTGGTGAGTAGTGATTGAGATCTTAAAAGCTTGCAAGTGACCATCTAGATGCAACAATGGGTCACTCCTTGTCCAGAGCAAAGAAGAATGAAGAAAACCAAAGGTTCATGAAAACAATTAGTCCAAGTGATTGGTACACCACGCAATTCTCAGCCTTTATGACTATGAGACCAGAAGAACTAGATGGTGCCTGGCTACCAATGACAACCACTCAGAGTGGGATCTATGTAGGAAATCTTGGATAGAGTGGGAGAACAATGTGGAACAAAATTAAAAATCATTAAAAAAAAAGAAGGGACCTGATTTGGTGGTCCTATAGAGCCTGTTGCAACCACTGAGACTATGGCCCCTAGGTGACCTTCAGGTCTGGAATTGAACCCACTCTTGTTGCTTTCAGCCAGACAAAAGACAGACATATGAGCTGAACATTTACATTAGGTAGATACACTCCTTGGAGAGAACAATCATGGGAGAATTGAAGGGCTGTGTGTGCGCAGGGAGACAACAGTTCAGGGGACAGGAGTACATGGAGGGAAGGAAATAGGGAGGAGGTTACTATGAGGAGGAAGTGGGAGGGGAGCTGTTGTATTTTGGGAGATTGTAGTCAATGCCATGAGACAAAGTGTATGTGAGCTTCTGTATGGTGGGTGAATTTGTTCTGTAAAATTTCACCCAAATCACAATTAAAGAAAAGAAGAAGAAGAACATTAAGTTATTCAAAAGGCATAGTATTTGTAAGACAGTGCTCAAATTATTAGTCTCTGCTGTGGCATGAATAAAAAATTTTCATTTCAAAAAAAGGAGAAATTATACATGCCGAACTTTAGCCTAATAAGTTTTTCTTTGACTTTTTTTTTCTTTTATCTCTCTCTCTACTTGTTTCTTGCAAAGATCTAGTTTGCCCCCTCCAGTGGGCAGTGGTATGGGGTTCCAGTTCTATCTCTTGCAAGAGTTTACTTGTTACTGCTGGTGGCAGCAGTATGAGATTCTAACTAAACGTTTCCATTTTCTTCTGTTTGCAAACATTGTGATCTGCTTCCTTGTAGATGTTTGGTCTGGGACTCCAGTTTTGATAACCTAGGTTTTGAGCACCTTGGTGAGGTTTGCTAAACAAACTACAGTGCTTCACTGTTGTTAAATGTTGCCACCTGATGTTTTTTTTTGTGTGTGCACTGTATTAGGGGTAATCACCAAATCTTGCAAAACATGTTGCATGGGTAAATGGGCAACTCCCGGCCTGTTTTGCAGAAACTTTGAAATGTGTGTTATTGCCTGGTAAGATGGAGAATGCCACGTCTTAAGATCAGGCTGGACCTCTTTCAGGTACTTCAGTGGCTTACATATGTAAGCATCAGAGGATCCTTTGTTGTTTTATACAGTGGATGTTGGTGTATGATTAACAAAAAAGTCTTCAGAAAGTCAGTGACCACTTTTGGGACAAAGTTTCTAGGACTTGATCCGAGAGATCTTTGGTAATTTTAGATCAACAGACTTAACTGAAACAGTTTGAAATTATGTGGCTATGTGTGTATGTGTGTGCTGCCTTGTTTGATGTTGTGCTTCTTTTTTTTTTTTTTTTTTTTTACATCTTTACATAATATATATATATATATATTTTTAACACTTTTTCTTTTTATTGAAAAATATGGAACACTTCACGAATTTGTGTGCCATCCTTGTGCAAGGGCCGTGCTAATCTTCTCTGTTGTTGTTGTTATGTGCCGTCGAGTTGGACCCGACTCATAGCTACCCCTCCTTGGGTTTCTGAGGTGGTGTCACTACAGAAGTAGATTGCCCTATCTTCCTTCTGAGGAGTGGCTGGTGGGTTTGAACTGCCAACCTTCTGGTTAGCAGTCAAGTGCCTTAGGCATTATGCTATCAAAGCTCCTAAACCAAACTCGCTGCCATCGAGTGGATTCTTACTCATAGCTTTCCTCTTTGGGTTGCCAAGTCTGTAAATCTTTATGGAAGCTGACTGCCTTATGATTCTTCCACAGAGTGGCTTGTGGGTTTGAACTACCGACCTTTTGACCTTTATGGTTAGCAGTGATATGTCTTCACCACTACACCACCAGTTGTTGTTGTTGTTAAGTGCCGTCGAGTCGTTTCCGACTCATAGCGACCCCATGCACAGCAGAACGAAACACTGCCCGATCCCGCACCAGCCCCACAATCCCTGCTATACTCGAGCCCATCATCGCAGCCACTGTATCAATCCATCTCGTTGAAGGCCTCCCCCTCTTTCGTCGACCCTCCACCCTACCAAGCATGACATCCTTCTCCAGGGAATGGTCCCTTCTTACAACATGACCAAAATAGGTGAGACGAAGTCTGGCCATTCTTGCTTCCAAGAGCATTCTGGCTGCACTTCCTCCAGGACAGATCTGTTAGTTCTTTTAGCAGTCCATGGTACTTTCAGCATTCTTCGCCAGCACCACAACTCAAAAGCATCAACTCTTCTTCGGTCTTCCCTATTCATTGTCCAGCTCTCACATGCATACAAGGTGATTGGAAATATCATGGCTTGTGTCAGGCGCACCTTAGTCCTCAAGGAGATATCCTTGCTCCTCAGCACTTGAAACAGTTCCTTCGCAGTTGACTTTCCCAATGCTACACGTCGTCTAATGTCTATATGCTGAGCAAATAATCCGAGAAGCTGGACTATATGAAGAAAAACGTGGTATCAGGATTGGAGGAAGAATCATTAACAACCTGAGATATGCAGACGATACAACTTTGCTTGCTGAAAGTGAGGATGACTTAAGGCACC